CCAACTTGCAGGAAAATTTTCGGCGAGGTAACGTGATGTAAAAACTTGCAGTATATATCCAACATCACAGGATTTTTTCAGATTACTGCGTGTCAACGCAGGAATTCGTAAATTTTTTTTCAGTGGGCACACGATATAGTATATTGCACTGACACTCGCTGGCCCCAGTACGAACGAGTACCACATTATTTTCAGTCATCGTTTTGTTATCTACAATTGATTCCACTATGTTTTACTCGGACTTTTCTTCGAGAACACAGTGTAATCAAATTTTAATGCGTTTGCCGAGCAGACAATGCTTTTCTCTTCTTATAATCTCTATCTAAAATGGAAAAATCAGTACGAATAAAGAGTCAGGTAGTACATTCGGAGAAAGTACACAATAAATTCAGCTTTCTGTTCTCTTATCTAAATACGTTTCATTTTCGCTAGTCATGTGTCACACTATCAGATTTTTAATTTCAATATCAACAAGCTGCACTAAAATTTTTCCGACCGAAACGAGTCGCGTCGAGTCCGGTCGGGTTCGGGTCAAGGTAAAAGATATCGATTCGGGTCGGGTCGGATCAACTCATTTTCGGGTCAGCTCGGGTTTAGGTCACGTTTGGTTGACTCGTCTCAGTTCCAACTCAGGTCAATATAAGAAAAACTGCCTAAATTATCCAAACTTTTCCACTCATAAAAGGAAAAAATTACAGAAATCGTAATGAATCTGACCATTCCTTTGAAAAGCTTTCAAAACAAGCTGACTAAGATAACTTTTCTATAGGAAAGAAGCATTTCTTTGCGAATGTGTACGAAAACATTTTCATGTTTCGGCTATAGCTATACCCATTCGTCAAAAGAAAATCTAGTATCGTTCGATTCATCTAGATTACTAGATTTTTACTCGATTCCAACGATTGAGTGATGACAGTGAGAATTTAGTAATCGAGCGATTGCTACATTTCATCTAGTTGCAACTATCGACCTATCGCCCGATAATCGAGCGATTTAACTGCAGCACATGCGGACTCATCTGGTTAAAAGTCCCTTTTCCAACTAGTAATCCAGATGATAACTAGTCGTGTATCGCCCGATTACAGACGAAATGTATCTAGGTTTTTCCCATAAGGCGATGTTTGCTTGGATACTTCGGATCACAGTAGAAAAATTTTCGTGTTCGTTCAGGTCGTATTCGGATTGGATCGGTTCGGGTCGAGTCGGGTTCGAGTCACGTTTGGTTGACCTGTTTCGGTCTCTGGTCGATAATGATAACGACGATTCGGCCTTCCCCTCGGAAATTTTCGTTACAAAATGTAAATGCGATATCATGAATGTTTGTACACTTTGATTTGTTGCTGATACTGTTTGCTGATTATGTTCAATCTTGATTAAATTAAGTTAAATCCAAATAGTCTATTTGATAATTTGTTACCAGCTTTGAAAAACTCTTTTCTATACATATGAGCGGCAAATGTATATATGTAAACTTGAACACTTTTAAATTGAGAGTTATACTAGATACATTCTGAATAAAAAGGAATGCTATTCCAGTATTTGCCATTGAACTAGTTAAAAACACCATGAGAATAAATCGAATAGCCAAAACGATCCTGTTTGTAAAAATAACATAGATGGAATAATCATCCCAATGTTGTTGAACACCAATAGGAGAAAAATGCCCGAACTTTATAAAGAAGTATATCCCGCCTTGCGACTGCCGTTAGCGGAGTAGGGTGCTGCCGAATGGCAGTTTCAATAGGCTGGTTTCTTCCCTGTAGTCGACAAGCTTCTGAAATGGTCTCCGACTCCGGTACTAGTCATCAACCACAGCTCTGACCAGAACGCTAGCCTAATGCAGAGTTCTTTCGCCCAATTACTTAAGTGTAATAAATGGATAGACAAATTAGAAGGCCGAAAACCTGAGGTCTTCTAATGTGTCCTATCGTTCACAAAATTTAGCGGAGTCTTATGTTGTGTTCCTTAGAGAAGTCATATTTTTCGGTAACCTCAGAAATAAAACACGCAGTTCAAAACTGCAGTATTTTCATGACTGAATCATTATACATAAGTTTGTAAGAAAGATTTTAGTTATGCAAAGAAGAGAGAGTCAGAAAGAGAGATATCCAAAGATGATCGCAGTATGACGCCAATATGCCGTTCTTTTCGTTTCATATCACGCTAAATAGACTGTGAGAGAACAGACAGACACATGTATTGATCACATTTTATTTCGTTCAGAGAAAGAAACATATTATTGCACTTTAGCTACAGAAACGTATATTTAAAACGGGCAAAAAGGTAAAAAAGTTTTTAAGCTGCGCTCTCGCTTTGTTTCCACTGACTTTCGCCATCTTTTACTGCACTTTATTCAATTACTCTCAGTACTTCTACCACGGCGAAAACTACATGAGAACAATTGAACGAGAATATACCTCAAGAAACACACTTTTATTTATCCGCTTACTGCGCAAGTCGCTCTCCCAAAAATGGCACACTGCATTGAGTTTCTTTTAATTCAAATACATAGGCCAATGAAGCTTTTTTTATGATCTCTAGTTCTATATGAGCATTATTATGTCATTTCTCTTTTAAATCAAATAATTTCTCTTGTTTATCTCTTTTTTTAGAAGCTATTCGAAATAAATACCATATCAGTAAAGATAAATATGATGAATTTTTTAAAGTTTGTTTACGTCGTAAATTAGTTGATTTTTTATGTAATGAACGAAAACGCCATGCAAAAAAACAACAACAGTTACATCAAGAACAAGAACAACATAATTTAACAGAAACACATCAGCAGCAACAATAGAATGATAATAATGACTAAATAATAACATACATGTCAGATAAAACGTCAGAACTGTATTTTTTATCTTGTTATAAAGGAGCAGAACACTTTAGTGCAAAATCGCTATTCTCCTCCTATTTTCTTATTTGTTTTTTCTTAATCGTGAATTCTCATGATACATCGAAACGCTTTTCGCTTCTAATTCTACATTCAAAATAAACGAAAACCTAGAAATTTTACTTGCACTGACCTTTCGGTTCAACAGTTATCAAAACGTTACTCAGTGCGCTTCTGACTTTCTGTCACATTAAGTATTTGACTGTATCTCAAATCCGTTCAACAAAAACAGAACTAAATGAAGTGGCCAAGAGCCAGTGAAGACATCGAACAAGTGAAGCAACTCAAATTGATGAACAGGCACAAATGGTAGTACATACATATAGTGATGTGACAGTGTGACCGACGCACATACATATAGTCATGTGACAAGAGCCGCTGTGAGAGCCAACTGACCGACACGTTCACCATCAAATCGGGTCTTCGGCAAGGGTATTTATGGTCACCTATCAGATTCAACGTTGATCTTGGCTTCATTATGTGGTGAGTACTGGAAGAAGTTAACATCACTGGAATCAAGTCAGCCTATCGGGTTGGGGATTTTGCTGTGGTAAAATCTCAGCGTAGCAGAAATACATCTACAAATAGTAGTCGTGTCTCAATACAAATAGGTCAACGACGACCAGTCACTCGTTCTCAAACAGGCCGCTTACCTTTAACCGTGAAAAAACTTGATCCGATTGATGTTGGAAAACATGTAATAATTTATCTAATGTGAAAAGTAAATCCGAATACACTTCTTTCTTTCCTCGATTGATGGTATAAAAAATTCGGTTTTATTTTCATCTTCTTTCAGCAAGTTAACCACTTGATTATTGAAAGGTAACAACTTTCACAGAATTTTTCTCAGCAATCGTAACGTAGTGAAACAGTTCATTGTCAGTTGACACTTCGCTATGAACGAGACCAATGCTTCTTTCACCATCCTATGTCAATCCACTGATATTTGTCCTCGCGCATATCATATACTCAACGAAGGGAATCAACAAGGTTACCATCACCAGTACAAACTTCTGCTGTCAAGTACGCTCAGAATAGCGTGCTTCACTTGTTCGATGTCTTCACTGGCTCTTGGCCACTTCATTTAGTTCTGTTTTTGTTGAACGGATTTGAGATACAGTCAAATACTTAATGTGACAGAAAGTCAGAAGCTACCACTGCAGTCCCAAGACCCGTTTTTCGACCTCCGAAAAATAATCGATTTTCTAAGAGCCCTTAAGAAAATCTGATATACCCTTACGGAATCCATTTTTCACGCTGAACAATAATATAAGGTTATAATAGTAATATATAAGGATAATTTTTCGGAGGTCGAAAAACGGGTCTTTGGACTGCAGTGATCCTATCTTCTCATAGGAAGGTTCAGAGGGTCTAATATTTTGGCTATGAGATATGGACACCAAGAGCTACAAAACCTAATAGAAATGGTTCAAATCCGAATACCCTTCTGGCTCGGTCCCATTAAGGTTTGGGTGGGTTTACCATGGACCCGCTCTTAAGAAGCGATAGATAATACTCGAAGGTATCCCTTAAAAAGTTGCAGATACTATCACGAGGTAGTCTGTAAAAAGTTACACATACTATCGCGAGATAGCCCTTAAAAAGTTATAGGTGCTATCCCCAAACAGCTCTCACAAATTGATGGATACCACCTCCAGCTAGCCCACAGAAGATTACAGGCATGATATCCTGATGGCGCTTGAACATCTATAGATAATATGCTGAGATAGCTCTCAAAAAGTTTCTGACAGTATCCTCAGGTAAGCCTTAGAAAATAACTAGAGCGGAAATAGTCAATTTTTTTATTGTTTCCTTACTTTTGGGCCACCCGATAAACATCAATCGATTCGTTTTTTGGTCTTGATTCCAAATCTGATGTTTCCATTCCATAGAAGTTGAGTTCTGTCACAGAACTCAACTCAATTAATCAGAATTTGGCAAAAACACCAAAGTATCTGAAACCTGCTGTACTAGAGAAGATTTTTGCCGATTCGTCAGCTTTGACAAAAGTCCATCTATCTAGATTAATTGTACATTTTGATCGTTTA